GGTCTTTGGGAGGAAAAAAAAAGAAGAAAAAAACCCATGGAGATGAGACATCTTTGTTCTCTAGCATAAACTTTCTTAATCTTGATGTCTATCAATCTATTTTCAGTTTGAATAATAGATGAGTTCAGTCCTTTGTTTCAGAAATCTGACTATTGTCTGAATGGGTTCTCCTTACTTAAGGCATTTTAAGACCATTTGTAACCACTGCTATTTTAGCTTCTGGATCCTTTTTTTTTTTCATCCTTTTCCATAGAGACACAGTCCTAGATGAGATTTTAAAACTAGCTGCATCTTCCATGCCTAATTCAAAAAGTTGTTTCCCGTCTTGGGATATCATCTCGCGAAGCATTACCAAGAGCACACCGAGTATGCCGAGGTGGCAAGAGCAGTGGGTATTAAAAAGAGAAATAATTAAAGTGTATCTTTATAAAAAGTAGGAGGGAGAAAACAGCACGTGTAGGGTTTTTTTACCCTGTATATTACTGCATCTTGTGTACTCGCTCTTATGCAAAAGAGTATGTAATCTTTTAAGAAACATGACAATCTGCCACTTTCTGTTCATGTAATTGGGATCAACATATGGTACAAGAGAAAAGAAAAACATTTGTTTATTAATTTAGATCAAGTTACTAACTCAAACCACTAACAGCATTCAGAATTAATCCCACATCCATTGACCAAATACCTTAATAGAGTAAAATTGTAACATAATTTCACTGAAATGTTCATCATCTGCTGCAGGGGTGCAGAATAATATGTAATAAAGACAGAAAGAAATATGCAATAATTTGGTGACACAGATGACATCATATGAAACGGAAAGTCAGTGACATGTGGATGTGCAAGACAGAGCTACGTGAAACTCCATTTCATAAAATTCACACAGTGATGTGGAGTTTTGGGGGTGTTTGTGAAACTCATCGAGTGGTAAGTTATGCTATTTACATCAGTAGGTGAAGCTTTTTACCGAAGTAGTAAAATATCAACCTCTGGGAAAAATCAGAATCTTCATTAAGTTCTTTCAAAAGAAAATGTACTCATCTGCCATTTATTTTGGAAGGAAAAATGTTTTCACAATGAGAATGAGGCATTACTTCTTTACCATTGAAACCTGACTATTTTTAGCCAGGGAAAAAAAAGGTTACCTTGACATGAAATGAATATTATCTGTTGCTCACTGGCATTTTATTTTATTTTTTTATGTTTTGAGTGAGAGGCTTTTCACAGTTCTCGTAATGAGGTACCGGAAGATCGGGGGCCAAAATTTGTACGCGTTTGCTGTATAGGAAGCCCTACGCGCTTCGCTGGGGTACATGCCTAAGACATTCCTGGTTCTGCACTGTAAAGGACATAACACTACTCCATCATAATAGGTCAGGTCTCACCTTCCTGAGAGTATGTAAAACAATACATCTTTTATGTAAAATACGTGACCTTTGACATACGATGTGCTCTTAGATTAGCAACAATAAAGGCTTTTATCCTGCTTTGCTACGGGGGTTATCCTGGATTTGACACTTTAAACCTCTTTTCATATTTATCTGTTTTATAAATTTTCTGGGTATTTGGCAGTCAGATCCTTATTTTGGCAGTATTTTGCAAGCAGACTTCATTTCTACCCTGAGTCTTCATGATAGCAAATGAACCATCTTAAAATGTACTTTTTAAGGAAACTGCTGAAAATTACACGTTTGCATAGAATGTGCAGATAATAGCTCTTTCGGCAGTGCTGTAAAAGGCAAGTAACGTTTTCTAAACACATTTGTCATATCTGAACTGAACCCGCTCCAAAGAAACCCAGAAACACTGGCCCACCATTAGCTGGCGGGAGACCAACGTGGCCCACCGAGGGCAACACACATGGAGGGCTGAGGAGGACTTCAGCTCCTCTCACAAATTACTCCGATTTAAATCCGGACTGCTTTCATTTCTGGTGATCTAAGCCTTGCTATATGCTACCTGGCTTTCAAAAATTTGGATAATGTACCACTGAAGTTAAAATGAGCAGCAGAGACAGCTGTTCCCACCTGTGAAAATTTCTCATTAATAGTCAAAAAGTTGAGTATCTCAAAACATAGAAACACAAATACAGACTTTCCTCCTGAAAATGTTTATATGGGTGAGCGAATGGATGTAGGCAACACACATTCCTTCCATCATGCTGTCTTTAACATAAACACAAAGTACCATCAACACTGTAAGTGTGCGTGTGGAGCAAACAAAGAAAAAATCCCATCCTACCAAAGCAAGACACTTCACTACACTCATATTTTCCCCCCAGGAGATGATTAAAATAGAAAACCAAACCACAAACAGAACTCCACTTTGTGAGCAGCAGTGGTCCTGCTGTCTCACGAGTGGAGGGAAGGTCTCCAAGTGCCCGCGACACCGTCCCCTCGGCTGAACTGGCATCCCACGCAGGGAATGGTCCGTGCAAAACTACGTCCTGCTCAGATTTTACCAGATGTTCCTGAAAACACTGGGTTTACTCACCAAGTGCCTCAGTTTACCTATCAGCGAGATGGGTAAACGCTTTTGTAATATAATTTTAAATCCTTGAATACGAAGATACTTTTTAAGACACCTGTTTTCAGCAG